TCTTTTTGGCTTTGTTCTCTAACTTTTTTTACCTAATGTTTTGCCAGCATCTGTGACCGGCATCTTCAGAGAGCAGGAGCACAGACAAGGCAGGGGCACAGACAGGCAGGGGCACAGAGAGAACTGCCCTGTCTGTGCTCCTGCTCTCTGAAGATGCCGGTCACAGATGCTGGCAAAACATTAGGAAACAAAACTTCCAGAACACAGCCAACAGCCTGGAAGACCCACACCAGCCATCTAACGTGTATATTGCTTGTGTTGTCTGAAACTTCAAAAGTTCATGGGTCAGAAAGCCAAGTAACGTCCTGTGTTTTAATGCCCCATCGTTTTTTCTCCCCGCCCCTCAAAAAAGGTAGAGAGGTCATGATAGCATTGGTCAGTCCATTCTAACGTAATAACAAAAGGGGGTGGAATTTTTTTTCCCATGCTTTGACACGTCTTCCTAATTTTCAAACTCTACCCCATTTTATATCCTCCAGAAATCGAGCCGAATTTATGTGTCATATGAAGCCGAGTGAACGAAGACATTCTTCATCAGGGAAGGAATCTGGAAACTGGACTTTAGTAGATGAAGGTGGAGAAGAGGTATTTTGAAAAGATGACTTTAACATCTCAAACTCAATATAGATTTCTCTCAAGGAAGGAAGCAAGAATAACACAGACTGGGTTCAGGTTTCCAGCTAGATGGGGTGAGCAGTTTTTCCTAACTTGGCTGCATTTTTAAAAATATTGACTAGTGTGCTTTTTGAACACCACAACAGGAAAGATAGTGAGGTTATTGTGTATTTGGAGGAGAATGGCTGGAATGTTCTGTCTTTTTTTCCTTTTTAATTTTTTTTTTAATCTACTGGGGGGTTTAACATGGATATTTCACTTCATTTTCTACTCAACATTCAGCAAGAAACGGTGCTCTGTTATTCAGCAGTTTGACCCCAAATTCCAGCAATGTGATTCACAGGGTGAAAGCAAAAGATGAGTTTTGGATCGACAGCTGCTCCGTAAGGAAGATTAGTTTTCCTACTACTTGGACTGATTCTTAATTGACCAGGGAGGAAAAAATTCACTTTTGGCTAGTGGATTTGTGGAAGGCTGAGTGATAGGTCCCTCACGTTTTCCTGAAAAAGCAAAAATTGGTTTTGAAGTTGAGGGAAAAATAGAGAGAGGAGGACTGTATTTTAGTTAGGTAGTTAATGACTTTGTTTTCGCTAAAGACCAAATGCCACCAATTGGAGCACCAAAACAGAATATTGTGGTGGAGCTAAGAATAAAATAGCTCAGGGGAGTTGAGTCACTTTCACAAGAACGAGTTCCTTTCTTACTACAGACTAGGGTAGGAATGAGTGGAAAATAGATGAGGATTTGCAGGAAGGGTGATCTGTAGAAGACTGTTAAAGATTTTTGTTCCCTAAACATTCAGGAATAGCAAAACAGGGTAGTTCTTTTCCCATATTTGAAGATATGCTGTCAACATGAAGGCAGTGGTTGGGTGCTGAAGATGGAAAATAGTGATTTCTAAGACCTTATCAAAAACAACTGTTCAGTATGTTTTTTTATCAGCAAAGTTTGGCAGAGAGGTAAAATAATTAAGACAGGAGCAAAGTTTTTTGTTTTCTTTTTTTACCGGGTCCCTTCTTTTTAATTATTATATTTTTGAGGAAAGCGGTACAATGCACATTTCATAAACTCTTTTTCTTGCGTTAAGGGGGCCAAGTTGGGAGAACTTTTCTGAGGTGTATTAAGCTCTGGGAAACCTAGGAAATCTAGTTCCCTTAACTCCCTGCCAAGCATTAACTGGAAAATGCATGAAGTATAGTGTTGAATTCTTGGTGCTCAAGGACTACTTATGGACCTTATTGTCTATCCCTAAATTAGTGCATGGATCAGTTGTGGCAGAGAATTTTTTAAGTGGGTGAGCTACTGAGAACTAGCACTACTTGCCCACACAGGGCATATTTCTTATCTACTAGTCCTTCTTCTCAGTCTCTACCTGCCTCCAACTCTCAGTTGGATTTCCATTTGATGTCCAGTGCCATGGCAAGTTAATAAAATGTGTATTTCTGTGAATGGACCTGTGAATGGCTTGTGAGCTCCATTCCAAACAGGCCATGGAAGTAGAAAGATTTGCTCCAGAAGATTTCAGCTAACACATCCTATTTAAAAGTACCAGAAAGAAGATTTTGAAGAAGATGCAGCAAGTTACACTTCCCAGAAGAACTGTTGGGTTCCCATATAGACTGGAAGAGGCAATGGGAACCTGGTGGAAAAGCACCAGGAAGTGGGAGAAAAGTGCCAAGGTGGGAGTGGCCTGGCTTTGATGGCCTGGTCAAGCCTTGCTGGAAAATAAAAAGATGCATCGGAACTGTAGTCCTGGGGAGCCATTGCACAAAATAAGTGTTCCATGTGGGTGTCCCACTTTAGTTCTTCTGGAACTCAACCTGGTCTGGCCAGCTAGACTTTGCGTGGGGTAGATACGCATGGGTGTGCCAATGCATGAGTGGGTGGAGCTTTTAGTTCAGAAAGTGAACAATGGAAGTTCTGTGTTTCTGGCTCTCTGGATGAAAAAAGGAGGTACCCCTGGAGTTGTTGTATGGCCCTCAGTTGTGATACAACCTATAGAGAAGTATTGGAGAGGCTAACATTCACCCCTTCTTCCTTGAGAGTACTCATGCTTAATCTTTTTTGTGAATGTGTGTCTTTGAGTCAGTGTTGACTCCTGGCGACTGTCTGGACAAGCCCCTGCAGTTTTCTTGGCAAGGTTTTTCAGAAGTGGTTTGCCATTGCCTCCTTCCTAGAGCTGAGAGAGAGTGATTGGCCCAAGGTCACCCAGCTGGTTTCGTGCCTAAGGCAGGACTAGAACTTGTGGTCTCCCGGTTTTAGCCTAGTGCCTTAACCACTACACCAAACTGGCTCAACCCTAGCAGTACAAAACGCGGGTTCTTGATTGAGGTTTCTTTTGCCCCAGGATGAAGATCCTGACACTAGCTGGGTTCTTCTTCTCGAAGATGACTTGGTGGCACTTTTGTCTCAGTTCCCCTTCCACGAACTCTTCCAGCATATGCTTGGCTTTGATGCTAATGGTGAGTGACATCATAATGGTAACTATATTAACAAAGTTTTTAAAATTTAATTCAAATGAGGAATGGCTGACATTTCAAGAGAACTCATGCAGGAACATAGATCTCATGGGATTTGATCCAGTATAAATTTTCTCTTTTTCGTTTGTCTCATTTTTTAAGCATTTGTTCTTTTCTTTGATGCTCGCAACATTGTATTTGATGGCGCATTGTATGTGAACTTTGGGGTGTTTAACTGATAAGTTCTGGGAGTGGGAGTACAATATATAAAGAATAAAAGAGGGAAGGGGGAAAAAAGGAAGAGAATACAGCATTCACACATAGGAAGACCTTTGATGAGTTTTCAACAGGACTTTGAAAATGATCATGGTAAGCTCCTTTGGAATATCACTCAGGAGAGAATTGGGGAGGAAGGTAACTTTACACTGAAGGAGCAAATGCAAGACTGGAGTGAAAAACACTTGCAGTGTTGTAGGTCTGGCACCAGAAGCTGGATCTGTGGTTTAGGCTAAGAACTTCAGGAATATATCCTCCCCTCCCCTCCCCCTATCAGTGTACTAATTGGCTGTTTCCATTCTGAAATGCTTTCCTATGGGCAGGCACCTACATTTCTGAGAAAACAACTTCCCAAGAAATGATGAAGATATTTACCTTTGCTAACTCTGTAGTGGAGCTTCTCGCTGTGGGGCTGGAAACCTTCAACCGAGCCCGTTATAGGCAGTTTGTGAAACGGATTGGCCGTCTCATCAGGTGAGGAGCTGATGCCCAGTTCCCTCATGGGCAGAGCCAGGCAGTGGAGCATGATTAGGACAGCAAAAGTAGCCCCTAGCTGAGTTGGCAGGGGCATATGACAAACATAGAACGAGTTTGGGGTAGTGGTGAAGGCACCAGGCTAGAAACCAGGAGATCACGAGTTCTGCTCCCACCTTAGGCACAAAGCCAGCCTGGTGTCGTGGGGCCAGTCACTTTCTCTCAGCCCCAGGAAGAAGGCAAACAAGGGCAAACAACGGTTTCTGAAAGTCTTGTCAAGAAAACCACAGGGACTTGTCCAGGCGGTTACCAGGAGCAAAGACTGACTCGCAGGCAAAAGTAGTCCAAAGTCTTGGGTTGCTGTAGGTTATTTGCTCTGGTCTGTGGTGCCTGGCAGAGGGTCTTGGGCCACCCTCTGTCCCTGCCTTACGTGGAGACAGCCAGTGATTGCAGAAGGAGACCATTGGTAAGCAAAGAACACCCTCATGTCCTAGTGCTTGTCAAAATTTGCCCTGTAATTTTTCAGTTTTCTTCCCCATGAAAGAGGGTTCTGGTTTTTTTCCCCTTATTCTCAGGTTGCTTGAAAATGGTTTTTTTCAAGTTTCATGGTAGTGTTTTGAATTTAACTATTGGAGCTGATGGAGGGTGCCACGGTGTGCGTTGCTTGCTTCCAGTGCCTCTTTCTCTCATTGCACGCACCTCCAGCTGCCTCGTCTGCCAAAAAGGCCGAGGACAAGTTCCCTTGGGAGGTCTCCCTTGGCATTCAGGGCAGGCGTTGGGCCAGGGACACTGGAGGCAGCTGTGGAGGTTTGCACCACGACAAGTGGACATTTACCCTTGACCATCTTACCACTATGTGCAAAGTTCCTCAATTAGGGTCTAATCAAGTTCCTTGATTAGGTTCCTTGTTTAATCAAGTTCCTTGGTTAAGTAGTTCCTTGATTAGGGTCTAATCAGGGAACCCTAATCAGGGAACTACCAAGGAGGAAACCCCACCCCCACCAACTCTGCCAGGGCAAGCTTCTGTGTCAAACCCCACACTCACTAGCACTGATGGTGTTACCTAATTGGGTAATGAAACATCTGCAAGCAAACCACCAAGCTCAGAGAGCACGAAAGACCACAGTTCAACCCTGAACTACATCTTTTCTGTTCTCTTGGAATAATTGTGTTCTCTTCTCTGTTTCCCAACTGATCATACAGGATGACGCTGTGCTACGTGAGTGATCACTGGGCCCAGTTTGCCAGCCGTGCCAAGGAGTGTGGCTCCATGATGCAGCCTTACTCCTTCAAGAAGCTGCAAGTGGAGTTTGACGAGTTCTTCCTGAGGGCCGTCCTCCATGTCCTGAAAGCAAAAAGGTTGGCAAAGTTGCATCTTATTGGGTGGAACAAGGCTAATAGTGGGGGAATTCCGGTCAAGGGCAGCATGTTACAAGTCTGTGAAATTATCCAGCTGTGGGAGGAAATTGTCCATGTTGGGAAATTTTCAGCAGGTAGTTACTTTCCAAGGACATGGGATTTTTGTGATGGGAATTTCCTTGCCAGAACTGGAATGCAGACTTTGAATGAGTGGATCTGGCCTTTTACCCACTTTTATTCTTCTCCTTTAATCCTAATCACTGTAGGATTGCTTCATGCTCTTTTCCCCCTGTCTCTGCAGTCATCTAAACTTTACCTTCATGCTTGCTTGCCGCTTCTTGCTCCGGCCTTCATCAGATCCTTAAGATGAGCTATGGACATTTCATTTCATTCTGTCAAGATAATACTTCAGTTCAATCAAAAGTTGCCATTGCTTAGCTCAGGGTTCCTCAACCTTGGTGGCTTGAAGATGTGTGGACTTCAACTCCTTGAATTCCCCAGCCAGCCAATTCTGGGAGATAAAGTCCACACATCTTCAAGTTGCCAAGGTTGAGAAATGCTGCTTGATTTCTATACAATCTAATGCAGTGTTTCTCAATCTCAGCATGCTGGCTGGGGAATTCTGGGAGCTGAAGTCCACACATCTTCAGGTCTCCAAGGTTGAGGAACCCTGGCTTAGCTTATGGAAATGGCAAAGCTGACCAGTTTGGTCAAGGAAAAACAATAAAGACTTTTTTAAAAGACTGGAAGCCTTATATGGACTTTTTGTTGAAAGAAGAAAAGATTGAATTGATGATTTATGGATCTGGGGATTAAAAAGGGTCAAAGTGGAAGGGGAAAGAATAAAATGGAATTACTCAATAGAAGGAAGGGTAGAAGTCATAATTCTATGCTTTCTTTTTTCATTTCTTTCTCTTTTTCATATTTTCTATATTCTTATTTTTCTTAATCTTTTAATTTTGCATAATCTTATTGTATTGAAAAATTCTAATTAAAAAAAAAAGTTTCTGTTGCTTCACATCAGGAGAGGGTTACGTCATCTTGCATAATCTGGACATGTTCTGCTCCACCTTCTTTTGAGCTGGCTATCAAAAGAAGGCAATTAGAGTGTCCTAATTCTGCTACTAGGCTTTGGCAGTCTGTGTATTTATGATAACAGAAATACACTTTTCTCTGGTGGAAAATAATGTGGGCGATACCTCATTCTTACTTCCTACAGATCAGACCCGGCTAGTCTTCCCTAATCTGGTCCGCTGCAGAGATGTTGGACTACAATTTCCATCATCCTCCATTGCCATGATTGTTGGCTGGAGGTAATGGGAGTTGAAGTACAATTCTGAAAGAATGTGTTTGGGGACCTCCTGAGTTGACAACAGCAGTCTAGCTTGATCTGAAACAGCTTTATATATGCAGAGTTTTGCAATTAGATTCATGTTTGTATGTGTTTTGAGAGCCCGTCTTTGGTATTTGCAGTACAACTAAGAACCAAATGATTTGCCAGACCCTTGGAAAAATGATGCATGATCCTTTTCCCTACCCAAAGAGTTTGTGCAAGAGGAAAGATTTTAAAATATCTTCCTTGAAGAAAGAAGGACAACCTGCCCTCTTGTTCCTCCATACCATAAGCACCATGCATGCCTCCAGCATGACAGTGGTGAGAACAGAGAATCATGGCACATTTTTTCTTTCTGGGCTAAATATTTCCTTGTTGGCTTCCAACCCCCTACAGACTAGGGGTCTGGCTGTTCATGTCTGAGATGCCTTATGGGACACTGTCCAGTGATATGCTTTGGAAGCTGTTCTCCATCATGCACTGTGCCGAAAGCGAAGACCTGGAGAAGTTCAGTTCCACCATGCAGCTGGCGGAGTGCAAGCGCAAACTCAGAGGTGGCGCCTCTTTCCTTATTCTTCTGGGGTGGAAGGGCTTGGGCAAGGCATATCTTCCAGCCTAAATTGGAAAGGGTAGGCCATGTGCTTTTGATGCAGATGTTGGAACTGGTGCTTGGAACTAGGGATGTGCAAGGCAATATAAAATTGGTTTGAGTTGATCTCTCAGATATTTACTTGCTATTCTATTCCATCTGTTTTGCTGTGTTTTTTAAAGCAAACCAAAGGTCATACACAACTTTCTCGAATAAGAGCTGTTTTCTCAGTCTGTGCTGTTAATGCATGTCTCATAATTTATGCTTTTTGAAACCAGATTTCCATAATTTATTTATTTTTTTAAAGAACACAGTTATCTACAGTATACCTTCTTCTTCCCAAATATATACTAGCAGATTTTGCACAATTTCTTTCCATGCCAGAATGGAAAGCCACCATGTCAGATTTCACTAACAGTTCGCTTTCATAAAAATCATTGGGGCTTTTCTTTTTTCCCCCCAGCATTTCTGTTTAATGTGCTGGTGCTCAGATATGAAAGTAGCAGCAGAATAGTTTGTGAACCATCATAGTTGCTCCAATAGGTGAGCTGGGCCAGGTGCTGATTGTGGTTTTAATTAATGAATGCTCACATTTCTATGCCACTTCAATCAGTCGACTCTTGAGCAACTTACAACTCTGTGAGCACATAAGAACATCGGAATAATAAGAACATATAAACACAGGTTAAGAAGTATAACAAAGTATATACCATCATTCAACCCTCATATATACTATCACCAACCATCATTTATCCTGGATAATGCTCATTCTGTTCAACTGTGGATTTGTCAGATGCTGTCCAAAACTGGCTTCCCAGAATTCAGAATTTGCTTCTTGTAACTCCAGCAGTATTGCTAAAGAACAGGAGAGAAACAAGCTTTCCTTTGGGTAGCAGTTCAGATCAGTATATTTGGCATCTTGGAGTAAGATTTGAGACTGTTTTTTAATAGTGGATCTTTCTGGAACTCTTTTGTGACTTTCAAGAGAGATGCACAACTTCGTTGGCTCTGGGGCCTGCACTGTTAACATGAGGCCACAGGAGAGCTGTGGAATGAATCTAATACATCACCAGAGGAGATGGAGCTGAATTTTTCAGGGGGCAGAATGATCCTCTTAAGTCTTTGCCCCTTAAAACCTGCCCACTTTGGCGGGGGGGGGGGAGCTTTTAAGAGGCACGTTGTCTTCCATGCACCCACTTTGCCCCTTAAAACTCCCTCCAGATCCATAAAAGAGTATTGTCAATATGTCCCCCTTCCCTTCCCACTTTGGGATCTCTTGAGGTTCCAGATGGGATGCCTGGAGGTTGTGGATTGTCCACCCATAGTTCATTTGATACTCTTTCCTGGATGTTTGGATCTAGCCAGAGAGCCAAGGCTGCTAGATACGTTTCTGCCTTGATACTGTGCCATTAGGAAGACATTTGGTTGAGGTTAAAGCTATTCTACAAATGAAGCCCTTTATTTAACCAATAATAAAAGTGCCTCTCTGTCCTTGTTATTATGGTTATTAGAGTGCTTTTCATTTGAATTACAAGTTATTTTGTTGGGTTTTACTGTTTTACCTTGCTCGTTGTTTGGAGTGTCATGTACTGTTAGGTTCCCCTGGACAGGGGGCAGGCTAGACATATTTCAAATAAAAGAAATCAAAAGCCTGGCTTTGGTGCCCCCCACAGATCCGACCCACCTGGAGACGTTTGAGCGGTATCTGCAATCGATGAACAGCTCCGAGGAGATCTGCCTGCTGACCACCTTTGCCCAGATGGCCCAGACCAAACGGGATGACCTTGATGAGGACTTTGTGAAAGTCGTGGTGCTGGAGATCTACGAGGTGAGCAAGAAGCAGGCGGAGGTGGGGAAGAGAGCGGCTGTGGGGAAGTGGGTGGGATCCCCTCTTGAGAGTATTTTCGGTGCAGTGGTTGCAAGGCTAAGCTGCAGAGCTAGGAAGCATGTAATGCAATGTTGGCCTAGATTGGGGTTGTCCTAAGTGATGCTTAACACTTGTGTTTGGGTTCAGCTGCTGTGCAGAGAATGCTGTTGCTTTTAGAACTGTATCTCTGTTCCTTCACTCCACTGTAAATAAGGGACTGCCAGAATTCAAGGTGGCAAGTAGTTGCCTTTGATTGTTCTTTTGAGAATGATAGTAGCAGGGGCAATGGGTAGGGTGGTAAAGGGAGCCCAGGGGATTCCAAAATGGCAGGTTAGGTACCAGTTGTCCAAAATGGCAGGTTAGGTACCAGGTTAGGTACCTGCAAGGGGAGGCATTGTGGGCAAGAGCGGGTGAGAAAAAGGAAAAGCTTTGTTTTGTTCCTTGCTTTTGGAATAAATAAAAGAAATAAAAGACTTCCAACAGGATTTGGTCCGTGTGCTGCCAGAGTTCACGTCACCCCCAAAATTACCCTTGCGCTATCTTAGCTAAGCTTGGTGAAAAGAGAAAAAACAGCAGAAAGGGAAAGATGCAGGATCAGACAAGACAACAATACTGTGGTGTGATAGTTAAATTGTTGGACTAGGATCAGTGAGGCTCATTGATTGATTTGGGGCAAACTTTCTATCTCAGCCTAACCTGTCTCATGGGGAGGTTATGGGGAAGAAATGCTACTTGTGATGCTTCTTAGGAGAAATGCAAGATATGCATCTGGTGGATGGATAAATGCATTCTTTGTTTACTGATTTGTCTATTTTTAGCCTCAGTTACAAAAAGGTGGTGGAATCAGCTCTTAATGGAAAAGTGCAGCTTGCTCTGCTGTATGTAGACCTTTCCAAGATGCCTGCAAAGCAGGTCCTTCTAGACAGCTTCCAAACATCCATTTCTCTGACTCGAGTACCCTTCTCTTATCTCGCAATGTGGGGCAGCTAATTCTCATCCACCTCACCAAGGTATCATAGGGAGTCCCTGAGGACATGTTGGTGAAGTCCTATAAGCATTTCTGCTATGAACTGTGGCCATGGAGCCCTGTGCAGTATTTGAGATGCTCAGATGATGAAACAAGGGCCCTGTAATAAGCTGTTGTCCTGCGGAGATGTTCTGTGCTAGACACAAGCCAGCCAATGTTCTTTCTGAGAATACTCCATTCCTCTTTTTCCATCTTCCTTTTGCAGCTGTGCTTCATCATCCAGTGTCCATGCCCTGGCCTGACTCAGTGGGAGCAAGTGTGGGGTTTGCTCCCTGTTTATATACAGCCAAAGCCCAGATAAGCAGGGATTAACACCAGACAAACAATCAAGCAGAAAACAATACCCTAATCAAGGAACTACCAAGGAGAAAACCACACCTCCACCAAAACTGTCAGGGCAAGCTTCTGTATATAACAGGGAGCAAACTCCAAGCAAGCAACCAAGCTCAGAGAGCACCAAGGACTCCACAGTTCAACCCTGACCTACATATATTATCTTCTATTGAAGCACATGTGCTAACAGCAGTTCTGTCCTTGCTGAAGGATGCAGTCCTGAAGCAAGATATTTCTCCTCCTTCTATTGGAAATGACTACCCATTTGCAGTTGTAACTCCCCCAGCCCCCTCTCCCCCCAATAATTCCCCAATCCTCTGCCAATATCAATGGAGGTGGAGGCCATCATGTCACCCGTCAGGCCCACTGTGGTTCCCAAGCCTGGAAGAAATGAAAACCTGGGCCCTGTAGACCCTTTAAGTAGCAGATATTGAGAAGGGTATTAAGTCTTGGTTCAAGTTTGGGAGAGTGTGTTTCTGAAACTTTCATTTTTTTCTCCCCTCAGGTTTCTTATGTCAGTCTTTCCACAAGAGAAACTTTTTCGAAAGTTGGCCGAGAGCTTCTGGCCGCCATAACTGCTGTCCATACAAATATGATTTCTGTCCTGCTGGACCGAGTCAGAGAGACTATTGAAAGAGTTGGCATGGTAAGAATCACTGTAAACTTTGAGCAAAGCCACAAGTTAACTCAAACCACATCCAGAGCAAGCATGACAACATTTCTATAATTTTGAAGACATAGGAGCTTGTACGTTTAAACTTTTCCTCCTGGCTGATACATTAGGTAGGTATTTCCCTTCAGAGCAGAGTAAGAAGATGCCTTAAATAAAATCTAGTCAACCCATAAATTGATTAACTGTTTGCCATCAAGTTGTTGTTGACTCTTAACAATCCCATAGATAGATTTTCTCCACGACGATCTGCCCCTAATCTGGTCCTTCAGGTCTTCAACGATGCACCCATCACCACTGTAACTAAGTCCCCCTGCCTTCCTGCTGGTGGTCCTCTTCTTCTCTTTCCTTCCATCTTTCCCAGCATCAGAGCCTTCTCCAGAGAGCTGGGTCTCTGCATCTTGTATCAGAAGCAAGATAATTTGAGCCTGGTCATTTGTGCCTTGAGTGAGAATTCTGGGTTGATTTGTTCGATGATCCATTTGTTGGATCCTATAAAACAGTACAGAAACCCATTCTTGTTATCTTTGGATAAGTGTCTTCCCACGTAAATATTCTTAAACGGCTTCTGCTGTTTGGTTTTTTCCTAGTACTTAGACAGAATTAATCATGTGCTGGATATTTTTTCCACTTTGACTTGCCATGTGTATGAAGTGAGGGAGGGAACATTGCAAATGGTTTGCAATGTGGGAGAGAAGAATGCCACTGGGCCTCTGGGTGGGGAGTTCCCCTTTCCTTGTGGGTGGCTGACCTTTTTCTCTCTTTTTCTCCTCTCTTTTAAACTTCAAAAAGGCCCTGCGTGCCCCATAGCAAGCAAACAGCGCCTCATTCTCTGTAATTATTGCTAAGATCATGTGACCCTACAACAGAGGGAGGGGCAGTGGCAAACACCTTTTTTTGCAGAAAATAATCAAGGCTGGGTCATGACCCAGTTCTAGCCAAAATCCTCTTTTTTGTCATTTAAATATTTTGGTTTGGAGCAGCAAATTTGCTCCATGATCTTTGTGCCCGCACTTCAGTTGTTTGTAGCATGGTGTGGGGGTTAAGGTGTTGGGCCTGGATCCGGAGAGACACAAGTTTGTTTGCTCATTTATATCATTTATATAGCTGCCCATCTCACATAAGTGACTCTGGGCAGTTTACAGGATTAAAAACAGACAGACACCCCCCCCGCCCAAAATATGACCCCTCTGGCACCCAAGGATAAACAGTTAACTATTAACCACCCATAGTAGCAGAGCTAATCTCCACCCTGCCCCAAATGCCTGGGGGAACAGCCAGGTCTTCAGTGCCTTGTGAAAGGCTAACAGGGTTGGGGGTGTCTGAATCTCCGGGGGGAGATGCTGTTCCACAGGCATCTGAGAAAGCACAAGGTTCAAGGCTCCATGGAGTGACTTTGGACCAGTCACATTCTCTATCCAACCTACCTCACAGGACTGTTGTTGTGGGAGTAAAATTAGCAGAGAGCCCCAGGCAAGCCTCCTTGAGTGCTCAGAGCTCTCTGAGAAATATAAATTTAGGAACAACAGCAATAACAGCAGTTCGTTTTTGCTTCTGAGATGGTTTGCAAGGAACTTCAGCCTCACCCCCAGCTGGGGCTATCTTATTTTATCTTTAAGAAGTTATTAAACGTTCCTTGCCTTCTGCAGCATTTCTAATCTGTTTGAGTTGCCCCTGAGGGCCGGAACCTTGAACAGATTAGCAGAATACACTGATGGAAACCAGTGCCTGGAGAAACACAAGGGTCAGTCTTTCTTAGTCATTCAGAAAAAGTTATTTCTCTTTGCCTACTCATCCTATAATTTTGTGAATCCATCTGGCCCAGGTTCTCTGTGACATTTCCAGAGAAAAGATGCCTTTAAAGATGGTCTTCGTAACTATATGCAATTCTGTCCTCATGTTTTTCTTAATTTTTTCTTGCTAGGTTACTCTTTATTTGTTTAAGGAGCTGCCAATGCTTCTCTGGAAACCATCTGCTTCCGAGATCGCCTTGATCCGTGACTGGCTTCTGAATTACAATCTGAGGGAAGTCGAGAATAAACTTGCTTGTGTTATCCTGGAAGAGATGAATTGGGGCCCTAGTGAGCAGCACGTACGTCTAAACTTGAGTTAGGGAAGCAGGCAGTTGTGTTTATTTTAGCAATAGCAGAGCATCTGTATAGCTCAGGGTTGAAATGTTGGGATCTTGACATTCACTGACCTTAGTTCTTGCAAACATTTCTTG